ACAAGGGGCAGATGGAATCCCAGAATTTGGTCTTGTCTGTGTCACTCCAGCAATAGGTTGTCTCTTAAGCTATTTAGACCTGGGAGCAGGTTTTAGACCTAATATAATCAGAATTTAAGCAACTGGAAATGAAAGAATTAATTAACAATATGCCATCAAGTGGACTCCAATCCCATAGGAAATCTTCCCACGGTTTTCTACATAGGTATGGAGTACTCAGATATGGCTTACCATTCCCTTCTTCTGGGAAGCTCTGAGACTGTGCAGCTTGCCCAAGGCTACATAGGCTGGTTCTACTCACAGGAGGTACAGTGAGGAATTGACCTAATGACTCCAAAACCAGGTGTTCCAACCCACTAAACTAGGAAGCAGCATTAAAAATGAAAGTAAAGAAAGAAGACATTTTGGGCACCAGTTGAAACCTCAGGGAATTGATATGCTTCTTCATGTCTCCAGGTGAGGAGACGCTTCTCAGACTAGCAGCACCTGAGAAGGATAAAGGGGGGAGCAGCTTGCAGTTTCTTTAAACCTTGACTATCCTTTTTCACCAATGGTCAATTGGCATCAAGGCTCACAAGCAAAGATATCTGCATGTTGTTGTGCTTGTTTCCCTCCCAACTATTGTCTGTCCAATTTCTTTGGCATCAAAAGAACCCACCCTTGCACTCATTATGTTCTCTCAAATGAGAACAAAACATTTCAAAAAAAAAATTCTCCTTGGTGGATGAAACTACAAGAGGTTGTGTAGCAATTTTATAAGTAGCTGTGTTCACTTATTATCTCAACTTATTGGAAAAATTAAAGATGAGGGGAGAAAAGACAAAAAGAGACATAGAAAGCACAATACTATGGCACATTAAAGACTAATAAATTTATTTCAGTGTGAGCTTTTGTGGATCCACTTTTTCAGACTAAAAATAAGTTCTGTGCAATGTTTCCATTATTCAGCACTGCAGAAGTGCTTTTTGCACAAAAGCCCTGCATTTTATAATGCAAACCTTATATTTCACATGGAAACACAAAATATGACAAGTAAATAAATGGAAGGGGGTTTTTGGGCACCAAAAACATAGTTTTTGCATCTGCTGCTGCTGTTGAAGACAAGAGTGGGTTTCTCCACTCTCCTGTAGGAACAAAAGCAAAAAAGTGTGGTCACCACTCTCCTGTAGGAACAAAAGCAAAAAAAGTGTGGTCCTTATATACCACTGCATAGTGGTATATTACAATTTAATTTTACAGGCTGCACGTTGCAATCCCCCCCAGAGAGCTGGGTACTCAATTTACTGACCTCAGAAGAATGGAAAGCTAACTCAACCTTGACCCAGCTACCTGAGTCCATTGGGGTTGAACTCAGGTCATAAGCAGAGTCCTGATCACAGTACTGAAGTTTAACCACTGTGACACAAGCAAAAGATCTAAAAGTAGTTGCCTGTTTTGGGGGACAGATATCTCAATGTCTCAAGAGACCCCTTCTCTGAAAAGTGATTGCTGTACAGGAAGTTGATTTTATAGACTGTCAATGCATCATTCCCACAAAAATTCACATAACTTCTCCATTCTGATCTAGCATTCAACATGTGCGCGTATTTCCACAGCAATTCTCAAAAGCATTCCTACCAACAGACCACAAGCAAACTGTCCCAAAGGTGGAGTGGGCACTGCAGCAAAATAAAACAACCACCACAGCCTCCAAGGTGCTTCAGCATTATACGGAGGTGGGGGGAGAAAAGCATTGCAATAGCCAATTAACACTATTTCTCATTTTGCTATCAGTTTTTCTCTTCATTGCTTTCACACGAAGGCTACCTGGCATCTGAAGAATGGACGCATAAAACTGTTCGCCAAAACAATAATTTCTGGCACAGTATCTCTCTGCAGTTAGGCCTCTGTCACCTGTTTAAAACTAGCTAATAAGCCAGCAACCATCTTTAAGTGATCTTTGTCACCCCCACACACCTGTCCCTGTCTTTGTTGATCACTTTCTCTGTCAAGGGAACGAGAGTTAGTTTATTTTATGCTCCCATTCTTCAAATACTCCTATTGTACCAAGAAGGTGTCTTAAGTGCCTGAAGGTGGTTTGTTCCTCATTAGTTCACCAAAGTGACATTAATAGCCAGAGAAGAGCACTGCGGAGTACAATTATGAATGGTGTTCAGGTACGAAAGCTGCTCTGAGCCTGCTAATGTTTCCTAATTATAATCCTTTAGCTTGAGAGTGCAACAGAGGCAAGGAAGGAAGAGGGAGTGCTAAAGATTGACTTATGCCCGCTCAGTTCACCTCGAGGGTGGCAACAGCCCAGGAGGAAGGGGCAGGTCTTTGATTTGTCCTTTCAAAAGGCAGCAGGCCATTGCGACACGGAGACTCATGCACTGAGCCAACTGGCAGTCTGCAGCTGATACCGATATGCCATGCCACGGACACATGGCAAACCACAGAGGAGTGTGAATCCTTTCCACATGGACAGCTCCCTGATAAAGCACGCTATCAGCCAAGGCAAACTTCACAAAAGAAGAGGCCCAGAAAAAACAAGAATATTTGGTTTATAGATGGTCGCTCATATTGACAATACTGGAAAGCCTTAGATGACCGAAGGGGAGGGGGGGATACATCCTGAGTCTCTTTCTCAACCAGTCTTATACTACTCTCTTAAGTCTTTGAAGGAGGGATGGGATAATGGGATGAACTACTATAATGAAGCAGTAAATACACAGGCTCCTTCCTTCCAGCTCAATTATCAGTCATGTACAACATTTCATCATACAGCTCTGTCCCCAAACATTTTGCCACTTCTGATTCCCACCATAGCTAGTAAGTTAGGAATCTAGCTACAGAGTCAGAATTTGGGAGTTTGATTCCCCAGTGTGTCTCCTGTGAGTACAGCCAGCCTGTGTGGCCTTGGGCAAGCTGCACAGTCCCAGGATATTCCCAAAAGAAGGGAAAAGACGGGAACATTGGTTCTCAGTGTTCTCTACCTGGATGATGCTGAAAAGGGTCTTCAAAAGTATGAATTGACTTAACAGCACATGATTATTAAAACTCTGAAGACCAGTATTCGAATCCCTGGTCAGCCACGGAAACTCACTGGGGGAGTGGAACCGTTAAAACCATTCCTTAAATATCTCACTGACCTTGAAAGCCCTGTTAGGATCACTATAAACTGGTTCTGACTCGACAGCAAATAACAAGAATGAAACCCCAGCATCTGCTGCCTGAAGTGGCCATCTGCCTCTGCCTCACGGTAGGACCAGTGCAAACTGGGCTGTAACTATGACCCTCTTCCCATTCTCCCAATTCCACCTCTCCTCCTAACCTGCTGTCTCCCTTATGTGTATTTTACTCAGCTCCATTAATCAGTTCTAAATCAGATTTGCCTCATGAAGCAATAGGTGCGAACGAATTCTCTCAGGCACCCAAGCTATATATTGTAACTTGTGAACCAGCAAAATTAATTCTTTTCTGTGTTTTTATTTCCTTGCAGAGTATGCTATGCCCACGAAGGGACCACAGCTGTCTCACTATGTATAACACACAATTTGGAGTATAAACACAAAAGGTGGTGTGGATGAGAAATTAAAATCACCTCCAAAGCAGACGTTTGGGCATCCCTACCTCCTCCCAGCTATATACCATATGTGTCACCAGAAAGTGGGTTTCCTGGGGGCTGCGACAATCTGAGTGTGATTAGGCAAAACAGCCACACAAAGGTGGGAGAAACCAAATGCTTTGCATAGACATTCAGGAAACAGCAATATGTTGGAGGTGACTGAAAGTATAACAGGCAGCACCCAGCCTGCCTATACTATGTCAAGAGGTAGCCTTGAAAGAGGGTGGAACGCCTGCCACAAAAGAATCGCTCACAGGCAGCAGCTCCTGTACAACAGCACCCAAGGCTGGCAAAATGACATGTCAGTGTTTCCTTGACAGATCGTACTGCTAAAGCCAGCCAGAGAAGCTGCAAAAGGGAAGGGTTTATTTGTTGCCTGGAAATCCACCAAGCAAGTGGGACTACTTTTCATTCTCAGCTTCTTATAGTGAAGGGTGGGTGGAAAAGTGCACTCCTGACAACTGTGATCAGAGTCAGGTTTCCATCATCTCTGTCACTTGGAATGGATTGAGATTATCGTCAGTTTCTGGGTTTGTTTGTTTTTAAATCCAAGCCCCAAATCTTATGGTTGATTTAAAAACTCACAACTCAATAGAAGGAATAAAAAAATAAAATGAAAATTTTAAAAAAACTGCACAACATGCTATCCCATACAGCAGATCTGCTATTGGAATAAGATACGTGATTTTAGTTTGTTATCATTTGGGTTGATGCTGCAAAAAAAGAAAAATTGGTGAAAGAGTTCTCTTGTGTTTTGGGGTTTTTTTTTTAATGAGACACAAAAAGATTTCATACACAAGAACGGGCAAATAGCTGGCCCTAATGTTAGGTATGATAAGGGATGTTGGCAAGTCCTCGGTACCAAGTCCCAAGTCCGAAGCCCTATTAAAAACAAGCTTTTTCCCCAGGAAAAAAAGGGGAGAGGGTGGGTTCTGAGTCGCATGTCAGGTCTCACTCATTGAAAAAAGAAACACTGAGTTGACTCACTGGTGCAATTTAAGTCCGATTTGACAGTGAATCCTGCAACTTGAGTGCCCATCCCTGGGCACGGTGAAGCAGCTGCCTTAAACAGTAAATTCTGGCTACCATAAAAAGGAAGAAAATTGGTGGTTTATAATATATTGCTATACGTTTACTCCCAGGGATGGAAAAAGATCTTGTGATGTTGTTGTTTTTGATTCAGGTACAACAATAACTTAGTTCAGTGTGGGCTCCATGCACCTTGACTTGGGCAGGAAACACTAACTGTCCAACCTCTGGTACCAAAATATCTTGGGCCAGCCCTGTCTCCTCCGTGCCATTCTCACGCATACACTTTCTCACATGCACTCCTTCATCCCACACCCAAGTAATAATTAAGCCAGAAAAAGATTCCAAGTTTTCAGTTTTCACTTACCCCTGAAGTTGGGTTTGCTGTCCAACCAAGTTCAGCTGTGGCTGTCCTAGTATCCATCAAGGTTTCTGCAGGGTCACAAAACAATAATCAATTAATAAGCAAAGTTGGAGGCCTGTGGCGATAGTACAAAAATGTATCTTGAGATAATCTGGGTTCTCTCAAAATCAATAGAAAATTCTATGTGGTTAGGCACTTGATCTGCTTAAGAACCTTGGCTATATGTTTTTAAGTCTTTTGTAACAGCTTTACAATTAGCAAGTTGCTAGAATCCACTTTCTCAGATTCAGTGCCACAACTAGGATGAGGCTATCAGATCCTGGTAAGGATACCTGATTTCTCCAGAAGTCCTACAGAGATTTATACCTCCCAGGCAAAGAACAGATTCTGTGATTTGTCAACCAGGGCTCTGATCCAGAATGCTGAAATATATGGGGATTGGGGCAGATTTGTTGCTGAAAAAGCACAAAAACACAATTTATTTATTCTTTACTCAAAATATTTATACCCCGCCTTTCTCCTGAAAGGGAAAGGCAAATTACACTATTAAAAGCAATTGGTACGTGCTTTTGAAATAGCTTAAACTTGGCTGCCTCAAGCTTATATACGAGCTCCACCTGCTTCTCTTGAGACAGAAGCAAGCAAAAAACGACAACAACATCATGGAACTAATATGGTCATCACATGCTCAGATCCAAATGTTTTCTGCCATTCCTCCATCATTTCCTGGCATATGCCATCTCACATCACCTAAACTTAACGAATAAGACAGTGAGAACCTGGATGCCAAAATTTAATTATGGCTCTGCTCAGATGTCTCTGGACTGTAGTCAATGAAACCTTATGCCACAATAAATGTTTCTAAGCTGCAATGTGGCTCTTTTGTTTTTGTTACAACAGACTAACAAGGCTGCCTCTCCTAAAACTTTTATATAATGTACCTTTTTTTTTTCTAAAGCTAGTCCATTCTCTAGACAGATGCTTAGATGTTATACTAAAGTTGATATAATCAGCTATTAGTCAGGCCTCTACAAAAGCAATAGACACACATTTAAGTACTGTGAGGTCATAGGATGAGGCTGATGGGTTAAATATATTTCTTAGAAGATCATGAAGCAGCTATGCAATTTGGGGTGTTGCTTTTTCTCCTTTTAAATATATATATATTAATTAAGAAGCTTAATTTCAAGGGAAACTATGTACTGTGATTTAGATCCAGACCAAGTATGGTTAGTTCCCAATAAAATCTATGGCACTGAAGTTCTGGGGCAAATTTGTTCCGTTGTTTTCAGTAGGATGCAATTTATATCTTTAATTATTTATACTTTACTTCTCTCAAGGCTAACAACTATGTAATTAAATAAAGCACAGAACAGATTAAAAGGCACATGAAAAGGATGAGTAGCACCCACTCATTTAAAAGGTCCTTCCATAGCAACTCAGTAGACTTCTCTGAACAATAGGGTTTTTGCCTGCTAGAGGAAAAACAACAATTCACACTAGCAGGGAATTCCAGAGCATGGGAAGCATCTACCAGGTAGCACCTACCATAAAAGTACCTCTAATAGCATTAAATCCAAGACCAAAGCCTCCCCCAAAATCCGTGTACCCAAGGAGGCTTATATGGAAGAATGTGGCTTTTCGGGTAGTCGGTATACAAGCTGAAGGGGACTTTAGAGGTAATAGGCATGTCCCAAGTTCCCCTGCTACTTATGGTAAGAAACAACTGCCTCTCCTCCAGTGCACAAACACACTCACACAGAGACACATACAGAGTGTGTGGAGGCCACATGCACTTATCACTGGTACAAAGCAAAACTGAGATGGAGGCAGCAACAAGAATTCTGCATCTTCCCCTTTCTGTAGAACAAAGTTGGGAAAGAGAAAGAGCCAACAACAGAGGAGGAAACCAATCAGAGAAGACAGCAGTGAAGGCAATGTTAGCAAAGGCAACACTCCAGTTGACACCGGAGTATATACAAGAGTCAGTAACAGTCACACATCACCCACTTCTTTCCAGATGTTAGCTCTACATAGGCCTGGGTATTTTCAAGAATTCCTGGTTCTGAGTTATTTGGAACAAAGGCTATATGTCCAAGTTGACCAAGAAAATTTCAGCACAATGTTCTGTTGACCTCTCCAGAATGCCTCAGCTCCTGTGCTTTGGCTCCAAGGACTCCCAGAGCAAAGAATTATTTCAATCGCTGAGCTTAAATAGCTGTTTGAAGCAGCTGCCCTTCTACTGCAGCACAAGTCCTCCTGAGGCAACAGTAAAGAAAAGTTCATCTGCCATCCCTGTCACTCCACCACTTGAAGCCCCCACTAGGGCTATTCCTCAAAAGTAGCTTAAAAGATGTCCGGACAGTGAAGCCATCAGAACAAGGGAGTCACATGATCCCTAGAACTGGCAGGAGTCACCAATTTGGCTGGACCAGCTGAACTTTCAGAACACTTTTCAAAGGCATCAGCTAACATAGTTCAGAGCCAACACATCTTTCAGCAGCCTTTGATTTAAAATATATTAGGGTATGAAGGGGCCAAGTAAAGTTGATTTAGGGGCTGAATCTAGTTTGCAAGTAAATGAAATTATGCATATAAATATCTAGTATCTGCTCAGAAGAGATCAAGGATCACCTGCTTTTGTCGCTTGAATTTGCAGAGCGCTGAAATATGTGGATTTAAGCTACTTAATACTCACACCCCAATCAATGGCTCTAAATTCTGGCACTTCATTTTAACAGGGTTGTAGATTGATCTATTAAACATCTAAGTAATTGTCAATTTCAACCAGGGCTTAGAATCTAAAGCCCTTCTGAAAATGTGATCTAGGTAAAGGAATCACATTCCCCATTATCTTAAGTCTCCATCTCAATTGTCGCACCTCTAGCATTCTAATGGATACATGACTTTAGAAGAAGAAAAGAAGAAGGGGAGTAAGTACAGTATAATGAATTCAAAATGCCAGAATAGAAGATATAAATATAACAGTTGCTGCCACTCACTCTATAGATTCTCTTGTTTTACCCAGCAGTGAGGAGGATGAATGTGGTCAGTTATTGGCTTTTTCAGGAATAGTTGGCAGCTGCCTGACCAAACAAGTAATATCTTTTCCCCCCTCTATTCTCTGTGCTGACATCTGATACATATATTGATTGGCTGCTTAAATGTGTTATCCATGCAGGAAAAATGAGAAGCATGAATATTAAACAATAATAAATAAGAATGTGTTTACAGATTTAATTTTTTTCCCAAAGCACTTTTTCTGTGGGTGTTGGGATTTTTCTTAATGGCATGGAAGAGCTACTGTTAATATTTTGCCCAGTCTCCCTTCCTGCCTCGTTTTAAGAGTAACAATTACAGTAACAACAAAAACATAGACAGACGGAGGGAGGGAGAAAAAAATAGTCCAGGTTTTATTTATTTGTTTTCAACAGATTAAGTTGCGTGTCTGTTGAGATTCCACCAAATGTTGCAATAAGATATTATGTTTGTCACCAACGTCTGGTCAAGTAGCTCCCTTTCTGGGAAATGAATGGGCTATTAAAATCTGCTTCTACTGTCATTGTAATGGAACCCGCAGAGGCCTATTCTGAAAAATTTGCAAACTACTTTGAAATTGGCTTATAGCTCATATTCCATTCTGAGCCCACTGGAGAAAATATAAGCATAACTAACAAACAATATAAATAGTAGCCAAACGCCTAATGATGTTCACTTAAAGATGTGTAACTTGCCATGGCCAAGTGACAAAATGTCAGGGCCCATCCCAGTTGCATGCCTGGTAATGTGAAAAATGTCACCCCAGCACCTTCTCAATTAGCCACAATTAGCTGCGCCTAGTTACACAAAAACTTTAAGCAAACACCAATCAGATTCTGGTCATAATAAGTAAATATTTAATAAAGTCTTTGATTTAGTTCCTGTGGAGGTATCTGGATTACCATCTAGTCAATTTCAGGTGTCTACAGCACAATCTAGTCAAGATGGGGTCCATTTCACTTGACACAAATGGTGGAGGTTTTGGAGGGCTGTAGTCAGCCACTTGTATGGTAAGAGGGAAGGACTGAGCTCATGGAAACAGCAAATGAGGTGATTCGTGCCTCTTTAAGAGGGAAAGTAGACAGGAATCTTGAAGAGGTATTTGCATGGACATTCTTTAAGAAATATTCTTTAAACACAGGGATTGTGAAAGCCATAATTCAGCTGCTAGTAACCTCTCTTTGTAGAAGGTGATGACAGCTCAACTCCTGGCACACTTGGGAAGCCCTGCTTGTCTGGAATCATTTTGATGCAGGTTTAGCCCACTTTTGGTCTGAAAAAAAAACCTTGGTCACCTGCATGACTGACAGCTCATGAGAAAAGAAGCATGGGTCGTGTAACCACTTCTGTTAGATCACTGTGTATTTCTTGATACTAGTGACGGTGGAATCTTGCAGAATCCATTCTGAAGAGTGAGAGCAGAGGGCATGGTAATAACAGTGGAGAAACAGTGGAGAATCAGCCTAGAAAAGGACAACTCTGTCTTGGTTAATCTCTTCACCTTTGTTGCAACTCATTTCCAAAAGGCAATTGATTGTGTCCAGTTATAGTCCAGGCTCTATTTCCACACACCCTCCCTCTTTCTTCACAATTGTTTATGTTGAAAGGATTTTCTCTCACTGCCTTCCCTTCCTGCCCAGCAGTTCAGCACACTCCCGACTTGGTTTCTGAGATAACTTTTTCTTTTTTTTCCCCTGGCTTTGCTCCAAGACAGGAATGTACTTAGGATAAACTTCAGCCAGACGGCAAGGTGCTTCCTCTACCAGCAAGCTGCTCTTTGCATACGCTCAACTTTTGGCAGGAGCTGGCGTTCTTTGAAACTGTTGACTAATGTGGTTCAGACAGGAAAACAAAAAGGTGTTGTGGAGAAGGGGGGAGAGAGAGAGAGATTCCTATCAAACAAATATGTTTTTCCCCATCATCCCCTGCCATGTAAAGGTGGGCAGTAGGGGTTGGTGTTGCCTCATTTTCCTTATCTGTGTTCCGGTGCGTGACTGTAATACAGAGGGGGATTAGCCTTAAGGGCCAT